GATGTGGGAAGATACATCCCAAGTGGGTTTTACATCACTTGAGACAAGATGTTGCCCCTAAGTCTTATATTTTTTGGTTGTGAGCCTAGCCTTTAATGGCTGAAACATAACCCCAGCCCTGTAAGTCTGAACTTCATAAAAATAACAGCATATCACCAGGCCCAGTAGCAATTTAGGGACTATTATCAATGTGTTGACAATGGGGTGGTAAAAATTAGAAAACTCAAAACTAGAATCCATAGTGCAATCTAAACAAGTAAAATTGTTTCTTCCTACTTGTAAGATAATCTGTGTCAAAAAGACAATCATGTTTATTCTGATTTCATAATACAAGGTATATCAATTTTGTATGAGAGAAATAGATTTCATGTCTGTTTTCATCATTATTGCATGAATTGCATTGGTGGAGAGATATATTAACTTGTTTATTTTCAAGTATCATAATGTTGCATAAAGGACATTTTGATTTCAAAGTGTATGCACCTTCTGACTGGAGTACGCAGAAGAGTGTTGATTACATATGCAATATAAAAGAAGATGACATTGAGTTTAATTACCTACGCCAGCATCATACATCAGGAACAAAATGATCTCAAGTACAAACCATTTAAGTCATGATGATTTGTTGGACAATAACAAATATAACCTGTTTCACTAAACGTTGACTCTACTTCATATGTTACATCATAAATGATAGCAACATTTATTATTTTTCCATCCCAAAGCACTCATTGATCAAATAAATTTAATGGCCATGATATTAAATCAACACTTTAGATACAATGAGATAGGAAATATATTGTGACCAAGAAGTAGGGATGGAGTTTGGATTTATTTTATTTTGGTGTTATTGTTGCTCATAAGGAAACTTGGATGAATTAATATGCTAGGATAAACATTTAGACTTCATGCTTTACTTTTTCACAGAGTCATTACCCAGTGGATTCTATAACTAAGCAACAGGTGAAATCGAAAAATACAGCATTTGAAATGGCCCGAGAAAAGCATTACCAAATCATTAATGGGTTTTAGAAACATCTTTGGACATAAAAATATTGCCTTAGAAGATGTCTTTAAATATCTGTATTAGCTACTGATTTCAAGATTACTTCACAGCAAAGAACGTTGTGGGTTCAAACATATAGTCTCCCCTTATTTTCAGGAGATTTCTCCAGCATTTTGATGGCCTAGAAAGATAGAATTGGTTTCTTTTTAACTGAACTGACAGCCATCTTTGGTCAGTCTGTACCCCAGGCAAGATTCTAATTGGGATCTTCTCTAACTATCCTCCATCAAACACAGCAAGGGGAACACATCGTACTGAAGACATGAGGGCAGAATGTGTGAAATTGACTTCTACATACAAATATTCCTATTAACATTACAAATGTCTGTTAAATCAGGTAATGCCAATGTTCTCTATAAAATAACCTGAGGTCAGAGTAGTTCATTAATTTTTGATTCCAATGCTAGCTTAGAAAAATAGTGATTAAAATTCTTTAAAAGTACTAACAAAATTAAATGGACTTTTAAATAGTTATTGATTAGTTTGTCCTCACAGACAAATGTACTTAATGAAAGTGTTGATATTGTGAGAACAAACTTGATGATCAGGGGATTAAAGCATATTTTTAAGTCAACCCAAATATTTAAACATTATGTAAATAGCATAGAGGATGCATTTTATTAACAGAGAAAAGGAATTTGTTTGAAATTGAATAGAAAAATATGATTAATATTTAAAAATACTGCTTTGAAACAGCTGTCTAGTGTAAAGACAGAACATCTCTTAGTTTTTGATGCAATACCTCATTGCCATGAGTAGATCAGATATGCATCTGTTTCCTTACATGTCTAAGATGCTGGTTTATAAACAGAAGCTCTCAACTCAATTCTGGAACAGAAATGTTCATTCAATTAATATTCAAAAATATGAAAACATAAATTATAGTGTTAGTGCCCATCTTCAGATTTAGATTTTGTGATTTACTTCTGAGAATAGCTTCAATATTCAATATTGGCCTCTCCATGTTAGATATTTTCTGACATATTTAAACATTTTATATATAGTCCATGGGTTAAAAAGCTTATATGCTATCCTAGAGCCTTCAAACAGTGGCTGATGGAAGCAGAAGCAGACACCCACAACTAGACACTGAACTGAACTCCTGGAACCCACTTGCAGACAGGGAGGAGGGATGGGCAAAGGGGTCAAGACCGGGCTGATGAAGCCCACAGAGCAGCTGACCTGAACAAGGGGGAGCTCATGGACCCCAGTCTGATGACTGAGAGGTCAACATGGCACTGATCCAGACTCCTGGAATGTGGGTGTCAGTGATCCACTACCAGAGGCCTCGGGAATCTATGGGGCCTCTGGTAGTGGATCACTATTTATCCCTGACATACGAATGGACTTTGGAAGCCCATTCTACATGGAGGGATATGCTCTTGTACACATGGGGCAGGGTCCAGATTTTGGGGATCACACATGGACTGCCTCACCAGCCATGGGGAGTGGAGGAGGGTGTGGGATATAAGGCTGGTTTAGGGCGGGGGAGGAGAAGAGGGAGCTGGGTTGACATATGAAGCAGGGTTATATCTAATTTAAATTTAAAAAATGGAAAGAAAAACTTACCATATTATGCAATATAGATGTCTCAGTGGTAAGACTGTCTAGGTTCATTTCAGTTGCCTACAAAATCAAAGAGAAGTGTATAGTAGAGCTTTCCAGCTCATTCTTTTGTTTCTTAATATCCCTGCATTTGGACATGTCCTTTTGGGAAGAGGCAACACTATCCCAAGTATCTTCGTGGTCTACTATGTATTGTATATCAAACAAAATCACTACTTTCTGAACATATATCACATTAAACGAGAAAAAAGGGGGTTGTGTTTGAAAAGCACAATGGTAAAACAAATGAATCAAAATATTTTAAGTTTTATTATATGACCACATTGCTATTTTATTAATTTATATTTTTATATTCTATTATATATTGATGCCATGTGTGGTGGGACATTCTGAGGTCTCATCCTTGCCAGGTATGATCAGAGAGCACATAATCATGAAGAAATCCTGTGCAAACTCACAGGTTGAAGCCAAGCCAGTGACACATGAGAATGCATCTCAGACAAATATGCATCTGGTTTTCTGTTAAAATAGAATTTTTGCATTTAAACTTCACAGAGCTAAACTTGAAATTCAACATAGGCATTTTCACAATTTAACCATTACTCAGTTATTGCATATTTCACTATTAATATAATATTCAAAGAATTGCTTTTGGTAAGATATATGTTTAAAATATTCATTAGAAATATTAGAGGAAAACCTGATTGCATACACATGGAAATGCAATCAATCAACATTGCTGTTCTGAGATATCTCATACTGACTATGCTCATTCATGCATATAATGTCACCAAACAAGCTTGTCAAAATTATGGGATTATAACTTAGTGGAAAGCAGGGTTCCTGGTATACTCAGGAACGTTATGCTCCACTGAATTCTTATAACTTGGTTTCCAATAAAGCAATGCTAGACACGTTCAATTAATGACAATCAACTTGTTCTGAAAATTAAAAACAAACAAAAAGCTAAATAAAAAGCTCAATGAACCAAGCTCATCACACATCGTGCAATTTGAAATCCTTTGCATTTGTCTTCAGTTCATCCTTTCTTTGGCAGTTAAAAAACTCTGGTTTTCTGCCCCAGTTGAAAGAGAAACTCCTAGAAGATGAAGGTTCTACTCCTTGCTGCTCTAGCCTGTCTGGTGTCTGCCACTGAGGATCCCTTACCGGTACAAGGATGGGCTTTCAGGGGTTATACGTGGGCAAAACAGGCTGTGGTGAATTTACAACTTTTTGGGCGGATGATCAAGGAGATTCTATGAAAGCGTGTTTGCTCCTTCATTTCTTAAAAATTATTTGTATTAACTTCAAGACTTTAATTACTTTATTTAAACTTTATTTATTCTCCAATTAAGGTTATAATTACTGCATTTGTGCTTCCTATATTGCCTAATGTTTTGGATAAACGATTATTTTTATTTATCATAAACACTTTACCATAATTAATAATATGTTCATAGCTGAAACCTGATTCATAATTGTATAATATATTTCATTGTCTTAAAAGAATTCAGAGATGGATTTTGATAAACATGATAGAAAATTTAAATCAGTCTAATAATTGCATGATAAGCACATTGTTTGTTATACATTTGAGGCATAATCTCTTTATGTTTTAGAGTAGACCAAACATGGTCAATGTGTGGGTTGATACTGACATTAATTATAATCCAGTTACATATCCAATGAAAAGACTAGGTTATTTTTTGAAGTTTGTGTGTGTGTGTGTGTGTGTGTGTTTGTGTGTGTGTGTGTCCATGACTACTGAAGTTTCACAAACACTGCAGCAAGGTTATAGAAATCAGAGGCAAAACCAACCACAGGAACAGTTTCACCTCCTTTCTCCTCAGATCACAATGTTTTCACCTTCGAAAAATCAATCCAAATGCCTTGACATACAAAAATATTTTAGCATTCAAATATGCATTGGATACATTTGTATGTGGATTTTATTATGTTTTTTCTCCATTTTGTATTATACATAACCATTATCCTTTATTTAGTAAATGTATATATGTTTTCATATAATATATATGGTATTTTTAATGTATAAAGAGAAATACACAATAATGCTGTTATACCATTATATATGGTATAAAATGCTGTCTACTTCTTTAATTGAAAAATAATAATTTATTTAGTGTTCCTACCAGTGTTTTATCTTGAAATTACTACCATTTTCATTTTGTCATTTTATGTGTGTGGGTGGTTGGTCTGCATGTTTCATTCATTATATATGTGCAGCACCCACAAGGCCATATGATATCCCTCAGAAATGAAGTTACAGGAGGGTTTGTGCTAAAATGTGGATACTGGGACTCAAACCCAGTTTCTCTGAGTGATGTATCTAATACATATTAATTTTTAGTTTTCAGGGAATTTTAACACCATCTACCTAGCAGCCAAAGATATGATCTTGACAGAAGAAAATAGTCAAGTGAGAATTTTGATGCGTGAAGTGAATTTTTTTAAGAATTACACACTCATCAGCATGACCTTCTATGTTAGGTAACAACATTTTATTCATGTAAAATAAAGGATTTGTTGAAATGAGACTCAAAGCATTCCCCATATATTTCTCAGATGGAAAAATATTGTGGATCTAATAATAATTCAAGGAAAGCTGGAGTTGAGAGTCACTGTATCTAAAACTTTAGGATTCCTATATTGATGTTTTATTTTTTCTTTCTATTAAAACAGTGAAAATAATAAACTCAGGGAATTAAAGATTCATCGTGGAAAGAAACCAATGCTTATTGAAATTAAAGTATTAATAAATGTGAATATAAGTAAAGGAAAATCAGAGATAGTTAATATTAGAAAGTAGTGTATATAAACTCACTATAAAAAATGTTTGTCGTCTTGGAAACTATCTTGATAATTTGATACCTACCATGGCATCATTGTGGTCACTGGCATCACTTATGTTACTTGGTAAAAAATGTCAATTATGGGCCTGAGGCCCATTCTCATTCATACACCCCAATGTGTGCAGGTTATTATAAATCAAAAATATTATTAATGAAAAAATTTACAAACCATGGCAGAGCATGACAGAAGATGGTCATGACAGTGAAATGTCTCCCTTTCAGCAAGATTAGTCTTCTTGATACAGAAACACATGTTGGATAATAAATGTTAAATAATTAGTGGTTATTATTTATTATATCTGGTTTAGGAAAAATGGGAAATGCCAACTACACACAGTTTGGGCAGATAGACTTCCATATAATTTCTACCCATTGACATGTGAGTATCTCTGGTCGAGAAATGGTGGTGTCATTTACATTTTTTGTAAATAATCTTATTTTTATATGGGAATAACTTTTCTGTTGTGTCTCATGTTACAGGTAATAATGCATATGCAGAATGCAAAAAAAAGGTTGGGTCTGAGAAAATCATTGGGATCTGGACAGTTCGTGGTGCCTTTCATCATTTCCCGAAAATCTACTATGAACCGCAGGTATATGGGGGCTTAACCAGATGTAAGTAAAATCTCTATTATCTGCTTTCCTCAGTCATGAGGAAATAAAATGTACATATGAGTCTTGTTATGTGGCATAAATAAATTAACAAACGAAAGAACCTCAAATAAATAAATACAGGTGTGTTTCTAAAGTTGGTCAAGTACAATCATACAGATAACTTTGGTATTTAGAGTTAGAATGTAAGGGATGTTCCCTGTTATTAACTTAATGAAAAATGGTTATATTTTGTATTTTCCCAGTAATAATGTGTTTATTATGAAGGATTTGCTGAGAATGTGTTATAAATAATACAATTTAAACTAAATATCAGATACATACATGTAACATCATATGGATTCAAAGAATATATTTATGAAAAAATTATTGTGAGATATTATTTTATATAACTTAATATGTTATATAAATTATATATAGTACATAAATATGTGATGATAATCAGTTAAAAATATACATGAATTTCAATTTCAGAGATTGGGCAGGATTAGACACTACAAATATAAGGAGGAATGGGAAGTGGCAAAATGATGTAACTATATTAAAATCTTACAAAAATAAATAACTAAATAGTAGAATCTACATCACATTCTAATGAAGGAAAAATTATTTCTTCCCAGATCCAAGTGTATTTTATATTCAGATACATTTTGCCTCGAACACCACCATTATATTCGAACTCATCTATGTTAATGATTTGGGATACAGACAGAGGCTGACTGGAGCACTGGGTATGTAATTTTCATACAAATATTTTTTTCTGTTTGTTAATTACAACATAACTCTGTACCTCCATCTAATTGAATGATGCATTGGTGTAGTAACATGTTCACTCATGTTATTTCAAACATGATCATGATTGTATGAAGTCGAGTTGAGTTGTACAGGATAAAAATTTTAGCAATACTTTAAATATTCTTGATTTTTTTGGTTTTTCGAGACAGGGTTTCTCCGTATTGTTTTGGAGGCTGTCCTGGAACTCACTCTGTAGACCAGGCTGGCCTCGACCTCACAGAGATCCGCCTGCCTCTGCCTCCCGAGTGCTGGGATTAAAGGCGTGTGCCACCAACACCTGGCTTATTCTTGATTTTTTAAGTAAGTATCATAGATATAATGGATGGAAATTTATTTATATATACACAGAAACAATGTTTGAACTGACTTCAGATTAATTTTTCTGAATGGTATCATCATTAGGGAGTAGCAGGATTTACCAACAATTTGATGAGTTCAGACTTTTAGGTGTGATCATAACAAAAATGTCTTCTCACTTTTCCTCCATGAAATGAAGCAACGGGAAAAAATATCACTGAAGAAATGTGGAAAGAGTATTTGAAACGGACACAAGACTGTGAAATCCCTATTGAAAATATTAAAAATATCTACGAAGCAGGTATTTCACTTTCTGTTACCCAATGTGAAATTAAAGCAAATCACAAAGATTCTTATTTTCTTCTCAGCAATGTAAAATCCTTGCAGATAGTATGAAGGAAATCCAATAATATTTTTAAATTTTCTCCTCTTTTTGTTGCACTTCACAGATGCATGCCCTAAATGGAACAATTGATCCCACGAGTAGAAACCTGGAATTATTCGCTGTTCTTGATTCATTTGAATTCAATTTTGAGGTCAATTCAATCATGTAAACACAATGTATTCATATTTATCACTCTTGAATTTCTGCGAACACTCTTATTATCAAAAATTGTTGCTGGCTTCATCTTTGATTAAACACATTGGTTTCAAATATTGCAAAATGTTTTCAATAAAATACCTGATGTGCATCATGCAGTAGATTCTACCATAGCAGAAATAGTGGCTGAACTTATCACTTCATTGTGAATGGGAATAATTTTAAAACTTGTCACCAAGGAATTTATAAACTTCCTACAGATATAAAGTATTTTATTTTTTCTGTGTTGATGAGGGAAGTACTTCTGTGTATATGTTTGTCTTATTTGTTAATAGATGAAGCACAGTTGTTCGATTGCGAAGCATGATAGGTGGGACTAGGATTTGAGGAGGAGTCTGGGAAATGTAGTCAAGAATAGAGAGTTGCTTTGTGACCCAGGAAAGAGAGGACACATAAGGCTGGCGTCCTCAGAAAGGTAAGTCCTTGTAAAAATACATAGATTACATAGATTAGTAGTAGGGTTAATAATTAAGTCAGAGTTAGCCAACAATAATCCATAGCAAACATCCACCAGTTTCATACGTAATATAGCATCCTGCATGTTCATTTGAGAGCAACATGGCACTGGGACCAGGCAGGCAGGAAGAATGCTAGTTTCACTGTGTGTTTTTATTTCAGAAAATTTTCCAAAAAATATCTTAAAGGAACACACAGTGTATTCTCATATGTACATGTCTGACAAGGCTTTAAACATATAATTTTAGAATTGTTTCACTAAAAGCAATCATATGTATCTTTATCTTTCTATCTACATCTACACATCAATTATTGAAAATGTTGTTTAAAAGATAATGTTATAATGAAAGACCCCTACCCAGGACCCCCCTAGGAAAAGAAAAGCAAGGCCAGGCCGTTGCCTAATGAAAGAAACCCAGACCAGGTGTCTCACCCTCAAAACAGGATGTCTGTGATCACTATAGCAGTCATGGGACCCGGATAATAATTGCTGAAGCGTGCTGGGAACTTTCATATGATAATACTAGAAAACCTAGTCCTTGGCAACTACCATGGCCCCCAATTGTGTCTGATCACTATAGCAATCATGGGACCCGGATAATAATTACTGAAGCATGCTGGGAACTTTCATATGACAATACCAGGACACCTAGTCCTTGGCAACTACCCTTGCCCCCAGTTGTGTCTATGATCACCATAGTAGTCATGGGACCAGGATAATAATTGCTGAAGTATGCCTGGGTCTTTCATAAAGTAATACCAGGAAACTTAGTCCGTGGGAACTACCCCTGCCCCAAGATGAGCCAATGAAATGCCTGTTACTTATGTAACCATTGAAACTCTATAAATATTGTACTCCCTGAAAGCCCGGTATGCTCTGCACCCGAGTTGCAGTAGCATCCGCAGGCACCTGTGTACTCAATAAATCACCTCTTGCATTTGCAGCCAGTGGTCTGGCCCCGGTTCTTGGGCAGAGGGTTCGGTTCAGTGCCCGGCGCTTTGATGCTGAGGTTTTTCAATAATTGCTTCATAAATGTGCCCATTAACAAGCACATACTAAATACATGCTGCACCTATTAAGTGACAAAGGGCATGAGGGGACAAAGTAGAGAATTTGGAGGTAGGAAAAATGATAAATATTATACTATAATATTGATAATAATAAAACAAGGTTGTCGCCACTTACAAAAAAATGGCTTGATGCATCAGTTCTGTCATCAATCTCAGCAGTAGATGAAGAAGAGCAAAGACCCTGTGTCTAACCATGGTAGTAGTCCAGAGCCCAACTCTCAGTCAGGTGCAGGGACACCCACTCTCAATAATAGAGTATAGGGTGATGGACGAAACATGCCTTTACTCACATAAATGCTTGCAGATATATACGTATTCATGTAAACAAAACAGATGGTTTAATGTACACACATACAGGAGATAGAATATCATCTCTAGACTTGTGATGTTGCTTATGGAGTAGGCATGCCTAATGCTTTGATGAAATACTTAGAATTTCATCAATTTTTAAAAGAATTTCATTGCAAATATGATACTTTTATAAGTTATATTCTGATTATTGTTTCAGGGTATAGTGTATTTTCATTTTCATCCAATTCTAGAAATTCTAAGCTTTTCCTTCTTGGTTTCTCTCTTACTCTGTTTTTAATACAATAATGGGTTGTTTTGATTTCATGAGTTTTAGTACACTCTGTTTTTTTATATTCTTATTGATACTGAGCTTTAAAATATGTTTATCAAGCTGGGCGTTGGTGGCACACGCCTTTAATCCCAGCACTTGGGAGGCAGAGGCAGGCAGATCTCTGTGAGTTCGAGGCCAGCCTGGTCTAGAAGAGCTAGTTCCAGGACAGCCTCCAAAGCCACAGAGAAACCCTGTCTCGAAAAACCAAAAAATATGTTTATTGAAATCTGTATGAGATTTCAATTTTCCTAAATATTTTGATAAGTACTTTGTGTCATATATGTGGTAGATTTTGGGAAAACTCAATTGGTGTTTAAATTTAAAGTACACCCCTTAATATTTGGGTGGAACAGATATAGATAGATATTCTATAGATATCTGTGATATCCATTTCGTTTAGGTTACTCAACACAAAATAAATTGTTGCATGTATAACATCAGTGTAGAGGGTATGTTACACAAATTGGTAGATTTTCAGGAAGTGTATGTGAAGTTTCGTTTGAATTTATGAAGTGGTGTAAATACAAGAAGCCAACTTTCAATCCACTTCTACTGAAAGGGCATATCTTTATTCAGACTCTTACATAAAAGACTATCCACAGAAAAATATAATATATTTTTCTAAGTATTCTTGAACAATATATCAAGTTTTAAAATGAATCATGGCTAGTACCATAGATGTGAAATGTCAATTATTCTATCGGCTGAAATAGGGGTAACATAAATTCAAGGCCAAATCAGAAAACTTAGTGAAGCTCTATCTCAAATTCATTTATTTGTTTTAAAGTTTTATTTTTATTTCATGTGCGAGTGTGTTGCATGTGTGCCTATGTGTGCCACTGGTTTCCTGAGTCTTTGTGTTCTTTGTTCCTGAGGTTCTTTCATGGGTAACTTTGCAGTCTAGAATTCTGTTTCTCTGAACTACTTGCTGAAGTGTCTTAAGATTTACATTTCCCAGGAGGTTACACAGCTTCATGCTGCCATGCTTCTCCGTGTCACTATTCTTCCTCTCCTGGGCACTCTTACTCATTTTCTACCTCCTTTTTCTCTTTTTCTTCTCCCAGTATATGCATGATTCACAAAGAAAAGGATTTGAATTTTATTGTTGTTAAATTATATACCTTGAAGTTTTATCACTACACCGATGTTAAATACATATTTGTTTAGCAAATCTTTCGTTGCTTTATGCCAGTGTAAACAAGTGCACGTGACCATTATACCCTGGACTGCATCCTTCCCGGGAAACTGGGTACATGTAATAGAAGGCACAAGTTATTGCATTCTGCCTGATGTTATATAAAGCAAGAGGTAAATAAAACCTAGTTTCTGTAGACAGAGGAGGGACAAATCAAAGGAAGAACATTCTCCTATCAGTGGAAAATCGGTTTCCTGATGCTGACACACAAATGGCTTGCATGTACTTACAGAGCTCTGGGTATTTGCTGATAGACTGGGTTGAGAATGGGAAGATAAAGAAAGGAACAAAACTTTTCCAATCATGAGTGTCCATAGCAGGTATCCATCAAAATATTTTTTCAATTGTAGAGAATATGTGTCAGGGAGGTCACATGGGTGAAGATGGAGGATTGTGTGAGAAAATTTGGGAGATAGTCCATACTGATACCCACAAAAATAATTTTTTACTCATACATCCACACACACACCCCCACACACAAACACACACACTCACACTCACTCAGACACACCCCTACACTCACATACACACATGCAATACAGGGATGGGAAATAAGTCTCATCAATCTCATTTCCTCTTGGCATGCATAGTCTTCCTCTTTTGAAATGTCATTTTCATTTCTTTTGGGGAGGTGCTAAAATAATTGATACTATACCTTTTAAATTATTTTTTGGTAGGAAAACATAGAACTCAAAATTCATCCTATTCTGGACCTAAGAAATATGACTGTTATTCAAGCTGCTTGTGAGTCCAAGAGAACAGAATCACAAAATCATCACTTTCACGGATGACATAGTGAAGTTAAGGTTGACTTAACCAAGTTAGAAAAAATAACTGTTTGAGGTTGGGATCACTCTCAGTGGTAGAGTTCTTGCCTACCATGTATAAAGCTCTGAGTTCAATACTCAGTCACGAGAAAAAAACAAAAAGAAAACAAAGAGCATACCTTATTTAAGTAAAATAATTTCTCAATACAAACTTAGCATGTTAAGCATTGTGGAAGTCTCAGAGTTTGAAATCTTTAAAACAAGGCTACAGTTTTTATATTTTATTTTTAAATGTAAATTTAAATTAGAAACAAGGTTGCTTCACATGGCAATTCCAGGTCCCTCACCCTTTCCCTCGCCTCCTCCCGTGCCCTCCCACCAACCCCCCAATATCCCCTCATTTTCCCAGTGAGAGTGAGGCCCTCCATGGGGTTGTCCATAGTCTGTCATTTCATCTAGGGCAGGGCCTACTGCCCCAAGAGTTCAGGGTGAGAGTGCATCTCTCATTGTTGGATGGCAGCCCAAAGAAAACAAGGCTACTTTAATACCTCATCAACTTCAGTAAAATGCATGGATCTCCATGTTTCAGATCTTCAGTGACCTTCCTTTACTCTAGAGACAGCACACCATAATGAAAGTCCAAATATAAAACAGATGTGCTGTGATAGCTAGTCTGGGGTATCAGCAAGACTATATTCAGAACCAACTATAAAATCCATGGGGATGGATATTACTGTAAGGATTTTCTTGAGCAATTTGCTTACTTCAGAAAGACCCATCCTAAATCTGGGATATATCCTCTGGCTTTATGTGCACAGTTCCAGTGAAAAACATGGAAGAAGGAAATTTGGCTTTTTGCCTGTTTGCTCTTACTCTTGCTGGCAGGTTCATGTATCCCAATGCTTTGGTAGTTAGTTGTCAGTATTAGAAACAACTCCATCAGGATACAACAGAGGCCAAAGATCAGCAGCTCTGCAGGTGCCAGAGTGATGCTGTAGACCTCCAGCCTTGTGTGCTAAACAACTACCATAGTCTCAGCATTTCTGGCATGAGAATTCATCCTTATTATAATATAATATACATTCATTCTATCTGTTTTGTTCCTTTAGAGAACCCTAACTGATACAGAGGGGAACCAGCTCAAGAGAGATAAGAGATGTTGTAAGCAGTACAGAGCCATCTGAGCCTTTTCATGTTGGCCATAGAACTACAGGATTATTTTTCTCTGCTGGATTCTCACAATACTTGGCATAATATTTCCTCACTATGTTCCAATTTCTCACTTTTTTGGTGGTAATATATATTCTGAGCTATTATATTTTGGAAGTATGTAAATTGTTTTATAGTGTATGGTGGGTTACAACTAAGTTGATTTAAGTCTAAATAAATTTTGTACATTGGACTGATGAACACTATTGAGACTGTGAAATAATATGATAACTTTGAAGCTGGACTAAATGTATTATCTTTATGATATAACTATGAACCTATAGTAATCCAGATGCAGATTTTACTAGTTTAATAGAAATGTGCCTTACAGACTCAGATATTTGAACATATAGTCCTTATTTGGCAACCCTTTTTGGGGTATAACTTTGCTGGACTTCCAATTCACCTTCTATTGTTCATGCTTATATGAAGATGTTTGCTTCCAGGTTCATGTTTCTGCTGCCATGGCTAAGGTTTTCTACTATGCCCCTTGCCATGATGTAATCTTATCCCCCTGTAGCATTAAGCTAAAATGAAGTATCTCATCTATAAGTTATCATGGTCATGGTATATAATCACAGCAACACAAAAGTGATTAAGACAT